CGCTGTCAAAGAGCAGCTTATTGATAAACTAATGGAACTCGATTTACGTCACAGTATTGATTGCTGAATTTAGCGGATTAAAAATGCAATAAAATCGGCAGAGAGTCTGTTGAACAGCACTGAATTCCCGCCAAATGATGACGCTATACGCGAGTATCCTTGTTTTCTTCTGCTAGAATTTTTTTAACTGGGTTGAATCTATTGGGGAAAAAAGTACAAACATTTATGAGCCAACCCTCTTGTTTGCTGTATAAGTTTAATAGAAGAGAGAAAAAAAGGAGTGTATGTGCTGTGTGAGTTGTTGAGCGTGTGCTGCAGAGCATGTATATTGCAGGTCACGCTTCGCCAGGAGCTGGAGGCGCTGAAGAAGCGAAAGGCAGGGCTGGAGGAAGAGGCACGTGCACTGTCGAGTCCAGCAGAACGTCTGCTCCAACTCTACGAACGGGAGGATGAACTTTTAGGTTGGAAAGACTTCATTCAACATAATATATCCCTGATTTTTTTTACTACTGTATTTTAGTGTTCATCAATTGATTTTACTAGCTGTTTGGGGTTCCCAGCAGCCATCCCTGAGCTAGTGACACCAGAGCAAAAAAAAAAAGAAAAAAATGTTGGAGGAGTATGCACTTTGATTTTTGAAAATCATATTGATTCAAGTAGTTTTCACTTTTTATACGCCCACACTTACACTGTCGTTAGTAAAATGAAGTAAGTTGAATTCTAACGAGACGATCTGGATAATACTTAGTAGTCCTTTATAACTTTTTAAAGTGAGTAGGTACTATTTAAGCCTTACGGTTCTATAAAGACGGAAATTCAATACCCAAGAGCAGCAAAACGAAACATATTAATTTAAAAAAAATGCTCATGTTGGGAAAGTCCAAAAAGAAGTTTCTCTTCTCAATAGAGAACATCTTTGCTGAATAAATATTCATTACTGTGTGGCATTCTTTTCTGCAAAGCTGAAATATGTGATCAGCAATGAAGATTTTTGAAAACAAAAGGATTGCCTCTGCCTTGAATTTTCCTTACTTGGGCCATCTTAACTGAGGTGCATTTTGGTTGTCTTTGGTCAAACTGAAATTTGCCTGTGTGCAAAAAATAAATACCAAATTGCCACAGGATGGTGAGGAGGGCTGGTGTCATTCGCAAAGGTTAAAAAATGACAGCATTGAAGCTCATGCAACCTTCTGAAGTGAAATTGGGATGTTTTTGAAAAATTGCATGCCCATGAGCAGTGAAATAAAAAAAGAGATATCAATTGAGAGCCAAGGCCCAAGGTGGGAAAATTTCAAAAATTTGTTTTATCTTATGGCTATCTAAAACCAATGCAATAATAAGTTCAATGCCCTTTTCAATGCAATAATAAGTTATTTAGAGCAACAGAAACATATGTCTAATTTTTTGTGAGCGTCATGGACAAATCAAGTAATTTAGCAGACTATAATGTTCAACACCAGTGTTCTCAAAACCAAGGTCCATGGGCCAGCAGTGCCAGTCTGCAGAAGTTTTTTGCCAGTCCATTAGAAACTTTCTCCAGCATAATAATTTTACAAAAATTAGCAATTGATTGTAATATCTTCCCCTGACATTTTGGAACAATAATGGTAGTTGGAATTATCTTATGAAATCAAAAGTTGGCTTTTCTCCTAATAACACTTCAGACAATTTTAACTAGCTGAAAAAATTGAATCCATTTTCCACTCTGAGAAACCTTCCTCAAACCCAGCACCTTTCTAGTTTTCAGGAATGTATTCCACTATTACAGTAGCTTCTTTTTTGGTAACTTGACTTTTGCAAAAAAAAATGAAACTTCTAAAATAATTGCTGAAAAGTCTTTCAAACAAAATTATTTACATCTACAAATTTTTTGAAATTTTGCTGGTACAAAAAAAATGTTTTAGAAATGAGCTAGTCCAAAAATCAATCGATGAAAATATGACGGTCGTCCGCGGGCAAAGAAAGGTTGGGAACACTGTTCTACACACAACAGTTCTTGCATATTTCAGCAGGGTATTCAAAAGATTACTAAAATTGTGTCATGTCGAGGCTAACTTGAGTTATTCATGTGCGAAATTTAAATGTCATTATATGAGCTCAAGCTTGTTTTCAAACACTGCTATGAATATATATGTCCTACGGCAAACAAGCTCTCCCTCAATTCCTTCCATTTATTTCTAACTGCATTTTTAAACTCCTTTCTTCTTTTTTTCCCAAAGTTTTCAAGATGACACGATTCTAGACGTTAGCAGTAGGAAGTTTTAAGAAAGTTTATGTATCGACTTAAGATATAAAAGTTCTTCCTTTTGCGTTAGTTTAGCATAAAGTAGTACATAAAACCGTCTAAAGGAACACAATACAGAGCGCCAACTTTAAATTGGTTCCCCTCGTTCATGACCAATGCAAAGTTTTTAAAAATAAAATTGGGATCAAGCTAGAAAGAAAAAGTGGGATCATTCATTTCAAAATTTTCAAAAAATCTCGATGGAAAAATTCACATTATATGCGGATCAAAAAATTTATGGTGGAGTAACTTCAGAAGATTCCTTGCAAAAAAAAATAAACTCTTCAACCGTTATGTAACTGAGAAATAGGGCCGATTTCCTGGAATCGATCAAGAATTTTCTCGAAGAACCTTTTCACCCCCTTACCTGCTATTGGTATTCTCGGAAATGTATTCGATGAATATACAATGTAGGGCGATTGAGGCATTTCCAGAACGCCTTCGAGGTGTTCCCGGAAAAGTGCATGCAAATATATGCACATACTAGGAGCCTAGTCAGTTCTAAAAGCAGTTATGCAGACCTCTTTAGGCAAATTCTACACTAGTTTCTAAACCTCTTGTGAAAGCCTTTCTATCATGTCATATAACGTACACTTCAGAGCATCCTTCATTGATCGTGGTTTGATCAGATACAAACATGTCAGCATGATGCCGCAGTTATTATATCCATATGGAGGGATTCTGATCCCTAACGCAGGATCGAAATCCTTCAATGACAAGATGATCTGATCCTGTCATTCCCGAAACAATAAGGACCTCATTAAATTATGGAAAGCCCAAAAACGTAAATGCATTCAAAAAATTTTTTTCGAAGTCGGGCCCCAAGATGTGGACATAATTTGTGTATGGACCTTGCCCATAAGTCAGAACTTTTGCGTGCAGCATCATAGACCTCATTTTCTCCTATATATGGACTTCGATGGGAATACAGGTGGTACCTTTCTATTCAACATCCCTCAATTTACCATCCCACAAATTGACGTTCAAATTTGCAGGGAGGTTGACTTGCAATTTGACCCTTGCCCTGCAATTTGACCTGCTTTTCATTTTTTTTTTTACTTATTATCTTGAATTTTACATGGAGTGTCTTGAAATTTAAACAATTCACAATTTGCCCCTAGTTTGGCAATGGATTAGGATCAAATTGCAGGGTCAAATTGACCACCTCTACAGTATTATAAATTGGTCCTCCTGTGGATAAAAGATTGAGAAAAAGTCTCCCAAAAATTAAATGAATAATTTTTTTTTTTTCAACATTAAAATATTGAGAAATAAATGTACATAAGAAAACCACAGAGAATCTGATCTTTTGGCATCTGCTTAAGGAGCTCCAGCTAAGCAAAGAACAGAGAGAATTCCTGCTGTACTGAGCACAAATGATAGTGAAAACTGAAGAAAGAAGCACAAAATTAGCTTTATTATTTTTAATTATGATAATATAATGATGCCATTTTTTTTTAGCATTGGTGAATGTAAATAGCTTGATCTCTTCATGAAACGAAACAATAATGATAAATTTGAAAAATATTCAGAAATCTTTGAAAATTTTCAATACCTCAAGTCACTGTCTATATGTATGCTGGGGCTCATCTTCTCAGCTCCAAGTGTCCTATAGTCAAATCCTCCATATGATGGGCTTGTCTGTCTTCAGGGGTCTTACTGTACTTTGCATGATGAATTTCTTATTGCAATTTCACATCAGTGAGATCCAAATGAAAACATCTTTCAGGAGAAAAGTGAACATTAATTCCATGTTGATGGAGAATTCCCTTTTTTTTTTGAAGACCACATAAACAGCACACCATATTATCAAAAGTATTTGCAGCCAACATTTGCAGAAAAGCGTGCTTTTTTTCAATGGAATATTACTCACGAATAATCATGACGACCTTTTGCATGATTTTTCCATTGAAAGAGACCAAAACGTCGGTAAATCGTGAAAACCGATTTTATTCTTGTCAAAAATGAAAGAAATCTAAATTTTGAGATTGAAAATTTACAGAAAGTCGTGTTGGCACAAATTTACTCGATCTTTTAAAGAAACAGTTGCATGCCATAATCCATCTTTAAACCCAGCCCAGAAATGATGGATTCCCAAAGGAATTTCAAATAAAAATTGACATATCGTTGATATTTCTACAGATAGAATGTTCGGAGGCAAATACGGCAGTGAACGAGAATTCCAGTTGGAAAAGGAACTCGAAGACTTGACCTTCGTCAGGGCAAAAATTATTGAGGTCAACAAAGGTTGGCGTCAAGCCAAGCTGATGGTGGATTATTCAGCCCTGCAAATAAATCGAGGTCTAGAGCTCTGGAGAAACATACTTCAGATCCACATGGACGAGTAAGTGATTAACCTTTGATATTCATTACAATTAAATCAAATAAAATGCTCAAGGAGTTCAAGAATGCCATCCAGATCATGAAGGCGCCCATTTTTGAGCAAAAATTGTCTCTCTTACAATTAATTGATTGTTCAATTCAGAAGCTGTATTTGCCAATTTTCAACATTCAAAATTTTCTCAAAATTTTCGTGGAACCCCCCGAAACATCACTTCAAAAAATGTCCGCCCAGCAGTAAAAAAGAAGTCACTATATATATGAAATCAAAAGAGAATATACCAGAATACAAACAATTGCATAAATAATTAACTGCTGTTCATTTTTTATGATGAAAATTACAGTAGAGAGCAATTATACTGAGCAAACATTTTAGCACAATAAGGGGTTCTGTTTTTTGTAATTGCTAGATAATTTTTGATCGAATAAACCATTTTTTGAATCCTTCAAGAGAAATCTTTTTAATCTAACGCTGTATCCCGTTTCTCTGAGATTTGGGAGAGTCACTCTTCTGAAGGTTGAACCTTTTTTCAACTTTATTTCATTTTTGACAGTTTTCATCTGAAAAACTCAGTTGATTGTCATTCAGCCCTTTGCACTTGCTAATCATCCAGAATTTCAAATGAGTGATAAAAAAAAATGGGTTCAGAGCATCCCCATTTCCAGGAAAATTTGCTTATCACAAGTATAAACGAAATATGATTTCAAGACATTTTGAAATTGTAGTCTCCATTTCTGCTGTTGAAGATTCCAAAAGTTTGAAATATTTTTTCTTAGTAATAATCCTTGTTCACCAGTGAGATTCGATTCTGATAAATTCAATTAGTCCCAGTTGTTCAGACATTGTTTTAGGAATGCGTAGCGATGACGCAGACAGTACTTCTCACTGCGCTCGCAAAGCCGTCGAGTATATTATTATTTTTCTCGCTGTTTCTTATTCATTTTTTTTTAATTTTTTATGGAACGTTTCATCTTGACCATTAGAGAGCAAGGGAAAGAAGGAGCCACAAGGGATGGGATGAAAGAAACTGTGCAGAAAGCTGAAGAATACTTCAGCGCTGCGTCGCAGAATCTCGAGAGCGCACAGCAATACGTAGAGATGGAGTTTCCCTATTGCGATCGAGAGGACTTGACGGTGTTTAATCAGGTAGGAAAATATATAAGACCCTCGTCGTTTTGCAATTCTACCCCACTTCAACTGAAAAACATGTAATATTGCATGCTCAGAGGGTGATAATATTTCCGAAGTGGTTTAGATCCATCATGTCTGAGAGTCGACGCGCGTTTTTTTGATCTAATAATAATAATACAGTATTGGTAATAATGATAACATGGATAATAATATTAATAATAATAATAATTGAAATTGTGCTAGTTCTAATTCCAGTAACACACCAGCTTTTCGTCTTGAAAAATTGAGGAGTGAAGGAGGGGTACGTGATGAAGTTTTGAAAAAATATCAGTATTTTACCTGAATCACACTTGAATATAGTAGAAAATGTTTGGGAGGAAATATTTTTTATCGAAACAAATAAGAATTAAAATCATATAAGGTTGAATGCATGTTGAAATTTGAATTTTGCTAAATTTCTAATTCAAATTCAAATGTTTGCTTGCATTCATTTTCATCTCAGACTTTTTTTGGTTATTATCATTCTTAAATTCGAACTTACATTGAATTCACTTTCAAATTTTATTTGTGTTTGAATTCACGCTCAAATTTTAATTTTGATTAAATTTCTGTTCATATTCAAATGCTGTTTTAATTCACGTTTGAATTTTAATTCTTACTGCATTCATTATCAATGAAATTTGATTTCTGGACACTTTCTTTTGTAAATATTTTAGCCTTTTACTCGCATAAAATGAGATACCCGTCCCACAAATGGGAACAGAATTTCATCAAAATTTTAGGATTCAAATTTGGGTGCGTGTTTCACTATAAAGGGCATGTACTACTTGAATAAATCGTTTATTATTTGAAAATGCTGGGTAGAGTCAACTTGATGAATCTGAAATTGAAATGTTATGGAGTTGAGCTTTCATCAGAATAGAAAAAACTCACTGAGGCAGATTTTTTCAAGAAGACAATTTGGATGCGATGCAAGCAATTTTGGAAAGCTGCTGGGATGATAATAGATGCAAAATGGACTCATTTCGAACTTTTGTGAATCATTTTTTCTGATATTCAGGCTTTGATATACATGTCTGATGATGCTGAAGAAAGAGACAGAGCAACACATGCTGCTGATGTTTATGTCACCATTCATCATCGCTCACTGGCATTGTCGCAATGGCTGAAACAAGTAAGATTTTCCAATTTTTCTCAATTGCTTTTCCAAATAAAAGACTGATCCTTTTCATCGCTTCAGAAGTGTGTGAATAATAACCTCATCATTTTATTGTCGACGTTTGTTCTATACAGGCCATAGAAGCCTATTTCACAAAGGATTTGCACCAGATAAATGATAGAATCAAGACGAAAACTTTGGCACTTCGCAGGGAACGAGTTTATCTCATCAAAGCGAAGGTGAGCGAGTTTCATTTATATACCTCATCAAGTTAATGAGGGTTTCAGTGCCTGTTTGCGTGAGGAATGAGTCCCGGGGATTTACTCGCTTTGCGATGAATTCCCTGATTAAGTTGGATTATATTCTAATTCACACTGATAATAATAGCTTGGTGTTTTTGTTTTGTTTTTATAAGGTGTCATCGATAACTTTATTGTGTTCCCTTTTCATCCCCTTTCACCTAGCAGACGACGCTCCGAATAAAGTCGCGTTGTCTGTCTCACGGTTCCGCCGCGTGATCTCCCGCGAGTCACGCACCACAAGGTTATGCAACCTCACCTAGAATGAGGTCAGATCCGGGTCTGACCATTCTTGCCCAACTTTACCTGACCGAATCTATATAGCCGCCTGTTCTCTGTTGATCGCGCGCTCATTGCTGTCCGA